CCACAACACCTGGCTATTTTTTGTTGCAGTTTGGCTGGGGCCGGATTGGAACCCGCCACCCTCAGTATAAGGGGTTGGTGCCCTACTCACTGAGCCACAGGCAGCGCCCAATACTTTGCTTTCTTCTTTTTCTTCTGAGACAGAGTCTCACTCAGTCACCCTGGGGTTGAGTACCCTGACGTCACATCTCACAGCAACCTCAAACTCTTGGGCTCAAAATATCCTCCTGATTTTCCCACCTCCACCTCCACCTCCTGAGTGGGGAGGACTACAGGCATATGCCACAGTGCCTGGCTATTTCTGTCCCTTTAATAGTGTCCATTCCTGGGGAGGATAAGCGCATCTCTGTTAATGCTTGCCTGTTTTGTTTTGTTTTGTTTTTTGAGACAGAGCCTCAAGCTGTCACCCTAGGTAGAGTGCTATGGCATCACAGCTCACAGCAACCTCCAACTCCTGGGCTCAAGCAATTCTCCTGCCTCCGCCTCCCAATTAGCTGGGACTACAGGTGCCCACCACAACAACCTGGCTATTTTTTGGTTGCAACCGTCATTGTTCTTTGGTGAGCCTGGGCTGGATTCAAACCCGCCAGCTTAGGTGTATGTGACTGGCACCTTAGCCTCTTGAGCCACAGGCGTCAAGCCAATGCTTGCCATCTTAATCCCCTTTTCTTCACCCTGATGCTGCTTGGTCAACTAAAAAGAAGCTCATAATTTACATATTTTCCCTGTTAAGTGGGTTCCACGTTGGCTCTGTGAAACTGAGTCATGTTGTCTGTGAAAAACAAGCTTCCTTGTGAAATCAGGTTCAGAAAGACATTATTTTAACGTTTACTGACAAAGCTCTAGTGACAAAGCACGTAACACATGTCCAGAGTAATGCTTGCTTAAATAAGGCTTGAAAGAAAGGAAGATCCTCTTAGAATACCAAAAGAAATGATGCTTCTTGAAAATTCTGGCTCCCTACAGACACTTCTACCCTAAGATATGGTCTATTCCCACTGACTCATCATTCAAAAACAAAGCATTGAGCAGTGACTAACTTAGGAACCATGGAGAATACACTAATGTGTAAGATTCCATTCCTGCCCCGTCTTAAAATCCAAGTGGCAAACAATCTGTCGTCTTACCAGCTTCATGACATCATAGTGGGTTAAAGAACTACCAACTTGGAATTTAGAACACCTAGGTTTGAATCCCATCCAGGCTGGTGGCA